CAGTATTCCACTGGGTGAGTATATGCTTTCTACATTCTGTTGGTGGATATTCTGAATATCTTCCCTTTGCCTCTCCAAATTTTTCTCCCTTCTCCAGTTTGTTCTGGTAGGTTGACTTCTGTGAGCTCCTTGTCCTCTGACTTCCCCTTGGGTTCAGCCAAGGGAAAGCCCCAACTGGAGATCAGAGAAAGGAGGAAACAAAAGTCAGTATATTTATTTCCATCGTTGACTCCCTTTGGGGTTATTTCTCCCCTGAAGGTAGCAGCTTCTCTTAATTCCAGTAATCTCTTCTTTCTTTTTTCCTTTTGGAAGTCTGAGCAGAAATAGCTCTGTGTTTTTGTCTTTGGGCTACCAAGCTGTCCCTTGTAATTTCCCTATACCCAACCCATCCCAGATAATTATTATCCCAGATAATCCCTTTTAAAATCCTCAATTAATTATCCTAATTTGAGTATGCCAGATATTTCCTACTAAATCCTGACTGATGCGTGGGATTTGGTTGTTTCTGTTTTTCACTCTTATTAACAGTGCTGTTTTGAACATTCTCACACAAGAGTTTTTTGGGGACATGTGGGAGAATTTCCCCAGGGCATATACCCAGGAGCAGAGTTCTGGGTTGTAGGTTGTAATCATCACCAGCTTCACTAGGTATGGTCAGATTGCTTTCCAAAGTCATTGTGCAACTCAGGCTCCTACCAGTGACATAGGTGTTTCCTGTTCCTCTCCTCTATCTCCTTTCTGCTTAAGAAATATTTATTATGTTCCTATTGCATTTTCCAGTATCTCGTGGATAATGGGAAAAGGGTTGGTGTGGCGAGTTACATGCCCTGAGTGGCTTATAATCTAGGCATGGAGTTGTGACATAAAAAATCATTCTTGGTAACTTAAAGAGAGGAATTGGGATTTTAAGAATGCATCCTATGCAATGATAGAGCCATTAACTGAAATTAGGGAGTAAGGAGTGGGGTCAGCTTTGATGAGATGGATTTAAGGCACCATCAGGAATTCTGAGGGAACTTGTGGGGTACAGTGTACAGCTGAGGATGTGGGTATGGTTGCCATCCACAGAGAGGGAGTAGATGGTGTCCCTATTGTTAAGGAGAAGAGTGTGGCAGAGGGCAGTGTGTGTGTGTGTGTGTGTGTGTGTGTGTGAGAGAGAGAGAGAGAGTGGGGGGGGGGAAGAGGGTGTGCCTGTGTTTAAAGGTTAGAAGAGGACACACTAGAGGATTCACAGCAGGAACAACTAGAAATTCTGAAAGACCAAACCAGGAGCCATCCTTGGCACCAAAGCTGGAGAGAAGGACTTAGGCAGTTGGTACAAAAGCTCAGATTTTGCAGAGGTCCAGGTGAACATAAGCTGGGCAGGGGGTGGCAGGTTTGATTGTTAGGCAACCTCCAGGAGGACAGTTTCCGTAGAGTTGCCAGGGAAGCCTGGTCTACACAGCATTTGAGGAGTGTCAGAGTGGAGGATATAAAATCAGCAAGTTGGCTCTCTTTCGATCCTGTTGGTGATGCATTATAGATATAGGATGGTAGCAGCTTAAGGAAGGAGCAGTATGGAAGGAGGGCTTTTAAAGAAAAGGAGATACCTGGAGCTAGCAGATGGCATGGGGTTGAACTGGCTAGACCCCATGTGGCTGACTGTCCATATTCAGTCCTGGAACTGGTGGCTTGAAAAACATGCCAAGTGTGCATGTGCATACGTGAGTGCCCAGAATCGCAAGAGGAGAATGGAGAGGGGATTGCAGTATGGCCATCACCCTAGGAGGGGATACTTTCTCACTGTCTCTCTCCCTCTCTCTTTCTCCCTCTCTCTCCCTGGCTAGTGTGTGTGCTCTAAAGCAAAATTAAAGAAAACCCTTCTACTGGAGCAGAAGGGTTTGAAATAAGTACAACTGGAGCTTCTGCCATTTATCAGGTGTTTATAATGTATCAGGCACCGTGTTCTGTGGTTTATATGAATTATCTCACATCATCTGCAAAAGTGGCCTGTCCACAACACTGCATTATTTACTTCACATTTGTCGTAGCTCCTGGTGGGTGAGGGAGGTGACTTCTGTTGGGGGTTATGGGAATGCTGAGGTGTTAAAGCTTTCAGGGGCATCAGAGCTGCGATGGGGCTGCCAGTAGGGCTCTACAGGACAAGAGAACAGTCCACATGGGCTAGAATGGGGTTGATGGAGATAGACGCTAAGTGAACAGGACACTTAGCCTGCTGAGATGGGAAGAGAAAGGATGACCCTAGACCTGACTAAATCTAGAGGTGGGCCTGCATTTAATCTCCTGTGGGGGCCAAGCAGTCCCACACTCAGTGTGAGCCATTTACCTCAAGGCCTTCATCCGCCCAAGCTCAGAGTGTTGGGCTGAGTAGTGACGCAGCCCCTAGGTCGCCATTCTTGCTCCATTGTTCTCCATTGACCTTCCCCTCTCTCCCTCTGGTGACTTTGAGAAGTGCTCTTAGATGTGCCTTGCCCTAGTCGAGACTCTGCAGAAGGCCAGGCCTCCAACCTCCGACCTCCAACCTCTAGCCAGGAGAGTTACTCCTAAGGCAGGTTCAGGCAAAAGTGCAGAAACTGGCTCTTACCAGTCTGTGGCCAACACACACACTGCCTGTCAAAGAGTTCAGTTAACTCAAGCAACAGTCCCTAAAGTCACCTTTCTATGATCTCACCCTCACTGCTAAAAGCCCCCTCCAGAATGAGCTGTGAAGTTTCTCAGGTGAAGCCTGTCAATGAAATGGACGAACACTTGGCTGTGAGACCGTTTCTCCCCACTGGCAGGATGGTTCCCACCCATTTCTTCCAGCAGTGTTGCATGTGCAGCTTGGTTTCACTCACCTACTTCCAGTTAACATAATCTGCTCGGCTCTGTCGACGGATATTTATAAAAAATAAATTGTACACGTCTCACCTGAGAAGACTCACATTCCGAAGGCATGTTCAGATCTTCATTTTAATTAGGCAAATTGATAATTAATTTCCTTGACACATATCCTAATTAGGACTACTTTCTGCTATCAAATAGTAGTCTTTTGAAAATTTCATGACATCTGTCTTGAAGAAACTCTAGAGAGGAGAAATATCAATGAAAAATATGTAGGGTCTTGAAACAAGCTCATGGAAAAATGTGTATTATGAAAACATTTTGTAAAGATGTCAAAAAATTTTTGCACCAAAACGAATTTGTACTTGAATTCCATTTTCCATGAACTTTTTTGAAGCCCCCTCATATGTTTTTAAAATTACTTATATTTCATTGTTTTTAGATGCTAATCTGTTCTTCCAGTTCATTTTGCCACTGAAATGTTTTTCTCTTCAGAGAACAGAGCTCTTGGGTGGT